CTTGGGCGCCTCTCGGGGCCTCTTTGGACGTGCCTTGACAGCTTCTTGGAGTCCTCTTGGGGCGTCGTGGGGGCCTCCTGGCTGTTCTGCGGGGTTCTTGGAGCGTCTTGGGGTGTTTCGGGGGAGCCTCTTGGGGCCTCTTAGGGGCCTCTCTGGAGCTTCGTTGGGACATTCTGAGGGCCTCTTGGGGCCTCCTGGGCGCCTCTTGGCGCCCTCTTCGGCACTCTTGGGATCTTTGTGGGCCAGCTTGGTGCCATCTTGGAGCAGCTCGATCACAGAAGCGGGGGGGGGTCATATTTGCGTCCCCCAGGAAGCCAACATTGTCACCTGACCAACAGCCATGATTTTCGCCTTCTCGGCGGGGCCTTCTTGGACGCTCTGACACCTCGCGGCCCCCCCGTCCAGGTTTAGGGGAGAGGGGTGGGGGGAGAGGTCAAGACATCCCTGACCGCAAGCTGTCTTGCTCACTCCCACCCGCCCTCCTAACACATGAATAGCACCCGAGCCTCAGCTTGATCATCGGTCGTCTATGGATGGACAGCTACTGGGAACCAACACAGACCCCGTGTGCGCGACACTGGGGCGACTTGCGCCACGCGTGCCACGCGCGCCAGGCGCGCCAGGTGCGCTGGGCACGGCTGGTGCCTGGGGCCCAAGCGTGCCAGGCACGCCTGGCGCGTTCGGGAAACATGTCGATCCCCACCATCCGAAAACCAATGCACAATCGCGGCGGGAACGCCATCATCGAAGGCCTACCCCCTGTGTTGGTGTCGGTGCCAATTCCCAGGCCTCCAACATCATGGTGTCTGCTGGGCCTGCGCACAGCATGCAGTACAGTCAGCGCGCATAGTAAGCTCGCTCGCCTTTTTCTGGGGTGCCCCCCTGCGTGCTTGCCGCTGCGGCCCGTCCTTTGCCGTTTTCATTGGTCGCCCGTCGCCCGAAAAATCCCAACTTCGGCCTCCAAGGGTCTTGCGGCCTTGCCACCCATCCTTAAGATACGTTTTCGCTGCATGCCGGCACCCCCGCCGTCCCTGTCAAGCACGACTTGGACAATGATTGCGGGGTGACCGCGCGCGATCCAGAGTTAGCCTTAAGTCGGGCCTGTCCCTCTAGAGGGGGAATATTCAAAGATAGTGAAACATAGTCTGGGGACGTTTTTTTGACCATTCCTGTTTATTTGGGGAGTACTTTCTTTTTCTTTTTTTCGCTCAAATTCCCCCTCTAGGGGGACAGGCCCGACTTAGATTTAGCCGCGAATTGCAGTGCATTGTTTTTTTTGGCATGGGTGACGGCCTTGCGTGCAGCAGGCAATATGAGCCCCCCCCCCCTCGCCGGCCATGTCAAACAAAAACAGTGATGCGTGCTCGCGAGCCTCACGCTTATGACCAAACATCTTGCCAACCACTGCAGTTCGTTTTTCTGGGGGGCAGAGATGTTGGGGGGGTTGTCGTTGGTCCTGGACGGCCGCTGGTCGCCTGGGGGAGATGGTGTTTTTATTGATAGGGAGGTGTCATAAACGCCTCTCCCAAGTGGAAGAAGGGGGAGAATGGGAAGATGGAAGAGGACATGCTCTAAACCACTCACGCCCAGACGGCTGGTGGGATCTGGGCTCGGGGTGGGCGGATCATTGTTCCTTCGGGTCCTTCCATGGTAAATCCTCCAGCGCTGCTCCTGCGCCCATCGAAGAAAACACAATTCAGCATAGACCTTTGTAGGTCCGCGCGGGTACCCTCGGTCGGCGCTGGACCCCCCCTCCCTGGCGCGCGGAGCTCGCCGGGGGCGGCTCGGGAGTCTCCGCCACGGGGTGTCCAGCTCGATGATCCTCAGACCGTGTGATCGCCCAAAGTGTGTGTTTGCCCCGTTCGGCTCCGCCCATAGCACGCAGCTTGTGTCGGCCCTTGTCGCACAGCCTGCGTCGTACTGAAGGGCTTCGGTGGACAAGCACACGTTGGCGCCATCGCGCGCGTTCCGAGGAGCACCCGCCAGCGCCGGCGAGAAAGCCGTGGGATCCTCGGGAAATTTATGGTTCAGCTCTCGCTGGTGGTAGCGGCAACGATAACGATCAACGATCAATGATTTTCTCCTGCTGTACTCGCTGGAAGTACGTGACACGGGACAAAAAAGGCCCGCCCAAGACTCTGCCGACCCTGGGTGTGAACTCGCTGGCTAAGCTTGCTCGAGCCTGGAACTACGGAAGGCCCCTTGTCGTAACGGCGCCGGCGCCCCTTGTCGTAACGGCGGGGGCTGGCGTTACGGCGTTTTTGCTAATTAGGGCATGTCGTCGCTGCGTCCGGCATTTTGCTGCCAGAACGGGGTATAGGGGTTTAGGGGTTTAGGGGTTTAGGGGTTTAGGGGTTTAGGGGTTTAGGGGTTTAGGGGTTTAGGGGTTTAGGGGTTTAGGGGTTTTGGGGTTTTGGGGTTTTGGGGTTTTGGGGTTTTGGGGTTTAGGGGTTTAGGGGTTTAGGGGTTTAGGGGTTTAGGGGTTTAGGGGTTTTGGGGT